TGGAGACTTGGCAACATTATCTATGGCCGAAGGAGTTCGTAACACACACCGATCATGAGTCATTAAAGCACTTGCGGGGACAAGGTAAATTGAACAAGAGGCATGCATGGCGGATGGAATTCATTGAGACCTTCCCATACGTCATTCGGTATAAGCAAGGTAAGGAAAATGTGGTGGCGGATGCGTTGTCGTGAAGGTACGTATTGCTAACTAAGTTACTTGGTTTGAACATATTATGGAATTGTATGAAAAAGATGTTGAATTTTCGAATATTTATTTGTCATGCATAAAAGGGGCAGTTGATAGGTTCTTTAGGCATGAGGGGTATTTATTTCGGGAAAATAGTTTATGCGTTCCTAATTGTTCTTTCGGGAGTTGTTAGTAAGGGAGGCACATAGTGGTGGATTGATGGGACACTTTGGGGTTCAAAAGACTTTAGATGCATTGAAGGAGCATTTTTATTGGCCTATTTTTATTGGCCTAAGATGAAAAGTGATGTTGAGCGAATTTGTAGTCGATGCATAGGTTGTAAAAAGGCTAAATCTAAGGTTTTACAACAAGGTTTGTGCACACCTTTACCTACACCTAGTGAGCCTTGGGTTGATATCTCGATGGACTTTGTTTTAGGTTTACCTAGGACTAAGAGAGGTCGGGATTCTATTTTTGTGGTTGTAGATAGGTTCAGCAAAATGGCACATTTTATACCACGTCACAAAACTGATGATGCCACGAACATTGTTGACTTATTCTTTAGAGAGATTGTGCGTTTACATGGGGTTCCAAGAAGCATAGTGTCGGATCGGGATGTCAAATTTTTTAGTCACTTTTGGAGAGTTTTTTAGGGTAAGTTAGGCACTAAGTTACTATTTTCCACAACTTGTCACCCATAAACGGATGGGCAAACCGAGGTAGTGAATAAGACTATGACACAATTGTTACGCACAGTAATCAATAAAAATTTGAAGAATTGGGAGGAGTGTCTACCATTTGTTGAATTTGCATACAATCGAGCTGTTCACTCTACTATGTCATATTCTCCATTTGAAATTGTATATGGTTTTAATCCACTAACTTCTTTAGATTTAATTTCCTTACCTATGAATGAACGTTGTAGTTTAGATGACAAAAAGAAGGCGGAATTGGTTAAGTCACTCCATGAAAAGGTAAAAGCGCAAATTGAAAACAAAAGTAAGTTGGTTGCGTCGCAGGCGACTAAAGCTAGGACGCGTGTGACATTCGAGCTAGGAGATTGGATTTGGGTGCACCTTAGGAAAGAGCTGTTTCCGGAGCAAAAGAAGTCCAAGTTGCAACCGAGGGGCGATGGTCCATTTCAAGTGATTGAAAAGATAAACGACAATGCTTACAAGTTGGACCTTTCAGGTGAGTACAATGTTTCGGCTACTTTTAATGTATCTAATCTCTATTTGTTTGATGCAGGTTTAGATTCGAGGACGAATCCTTTTGAAGAGGGAGGAGATGATATGATCCAGGAGTCGAGCTCGACGAAGGCAAGTGCGAGACGAGACCCGTTGATAGTCGATGGCGGACCAATGACGTGATCAAGGGCAAAGTAAGTGAAAAAAGCGATGGGATTGCTCGTTCAAGAAACCATTGATGGAACCATGTTCGGGACTCAAAATGGAGCGACTTTCATGTTCGGGTCGAAGGCCGAATCAACTTGGATCAATTTGTTATCAAACGACGAAACCGGAGGCTGAAAATAAGCCTGTGCGACCGCACAGCAAAATCACCATGCGGCCGCACGGTGGCATACCGAAAATCAAGATGGCATTTCTTGTTGAACCATGAGACTACATCGAAATACACCATGCGGCCGCACAACCCAAAAATTTGGCGAATTTTCCAATTTTGGCAATTTTTCATATTTTGTTAGATTTTAATTCTTTTCCAAATATTGGAGATTATGCTCGACTTTTGCATGATTTTTACCTAGTTTTCAGGTTTAGTATAAATAGGAGTTTCCATTCAATTGTTAAAAAACTTTTGACATTATTGATATTGAATTAAAGTGAGGCGTATTGTTTTCTCTTCATCGTTCTTCATTGAACAACTTCGTACTTATCAAGTATTAACTTGTGGCGTTCAAACAATCGGATTTAATTCTTGGATTGCGTGATCAAGGGATCTTTCAAGCGTCGTTCTTGTTGGGTTTTTTGGTTCGACTTTCTTTTGGATTAATCCTAAACTCTGGGATTAATTTGACTTTCTTGGGTTTGTCAATCTCGTTGTGGGTTTCGTAGCCAACGTTGCTACGGGGTTCTCATCAGTTTTGGCCCACAACCACATTTCAGAAAGCTCGCGTGGAAGGACAGGCACTTGCATACACATAATGCTTGGGTTATCAATTTTCAAAAAAATTTGTATAACTCTCTATACGGTATTTGTTTTAGGCCCATAATCACATTTCAAAAAGCTCGTGACGATTCAGAAAGCGGTTCACGTGGAAGAACAAGCACTTGCATACATGGAATGCTTGGATTGTCAGTTTTTGAAAAAATTGGCATAACTTTTGCATACGATATCCGTTTTGGGCCCATAACCACATTTCAGAAAGCTCACGATGATTTGGAACTAGTTTCACATGGAAGAACGGGCACATGCATCTACAAAATTCTTGGATTGTCAGTTTTCGAAAAAATGGCATAACTTTCGTATACAGTGTCCATTTTGGGCCCATAACCACATTTCGAAAGGCTCACGACAATTCAAAGAGAGATTTCAGGGAAAGAACCGGCAATTACTGTCACACCCCTGCTCATATACATAACTATCCATTAACCTATGTGGAAATAAAATTGATAACTCGACCTATACATAGAATTTCTCACTTTTTTCCCCCAGATAAAATGACATAAGCTATGTCTCTAAACCAAAATCATGTCGCCATAATCAAACATATATATTCTAAGATTGTAAACAAGTCTACATGCCATGTCAAAAGATATACAACACATGATAACCAACATACAACACAATAGGCCATAAGCGCAAAATAGCAGCCCACAAAATAACGCTACAGGTCATCATCCATGTACACCGAACTCTGGAATACCATAAGAGCTCCACAACTAGCCATGCTCTCTATGTAGTTCCAGGCTCACCTACAATGTAAGAACTACATAAGCCAATGCTTAGTAAGAAAATCATGCTCGTCATGAACATGAATGATAACGATATATGCAACTATGCCATTTACTTTAAACATTACGATAAAGAAGCATCATATTCCAATATTTATCAAAGTCGACTCGAAATCATTTCATTTGAAACCCTTCATTTCATTGGGTCCTTGACCCACCTACTATGCACCGAATAGAGCTCTGCATAATATCAATATCAATAATCAAATGGCCTACATGAAATTGACACCGACGAGTGGACCATCTTCTCGTGACCACTAGAGGCCCATCCCCTAACTACCCCTATGATCACCTAAGAAGTCTCCCACTTGGCAGCTCCAACAATCATAATATCACAAGGGCACAGTCGAGTGGTCCATCCTCCCATGATCACCAAAGGCCCATCCCCTATCTACCTTTGCAATCACCTAGGAAGTATCACTCGTGATGCCAAACATATCACATAAGCATGCCTCACATGCATCGGTGCACTAGTAGTGGTCAATAAAATATTTATAAAGAAAACTCACTTTGAAATCATGTTTCACATGCAGGATTTTCAACCATCAAAACATGTCCTGCATGCATATGAAAATGCCCATGAATGACATATTTAATGCAAATCGCTGTCCATAGGTATCGCAACCGCATACTCAACGACCATAACCATCATATGATGTACAATGAACTTCTTATCGAAGCTATGTGAATCTTCTGATATTACCACTTCACAATTACTAGGTTCTTTCATCGTAGTTGCAAATGGATTTTTACTTACCTTTCACCTTTGTGTGAGCAAGCTTCTACGGAGATTAGATCAATTTCCTTTTTCACTCGAAGTCAGAAAATCACATCTATTACCATTTAATATTAAAGAAAATCCTTAATTTAATAATCTTAACACAAAAAATCCCAAAATACACCCATTCTCACCAAAATAATTTAGACGAAATCATCATTTCAAGTTACCGATGGCTTTACAAACTAATCCCACAAATCTCGCTATTTCTCGAGTCAAATTATGAACATCAGTGTCATCCAATTGTTTTCGAAAACCTAGTACTCCTTAGAATCTATTTTCTAGGCCCAAGAGATGATTAATGGATATGTAGAGGTTGAAACCCCATTTAACAAGAAAATTGACAGAATCTATTTTTCAGGTTTCATCACCGTCCAACTACTTTTCCGAATCCAATGACTCCCAAATTTTTACTAAATTTCTATAACATGTATGTGAAGGTAATAATGTTCTAAATTCATGACAAGTAAAGTATTCTCAGCATCAAAATAGTCCATTTCCACGACACCAAAATCAGGCAGTTTTCATTATGATAGTTTTCGGTTTCCATTTTATTAGCATGTCACCAATCAGATTCCAGGCTATTAGAAGACCATTTATATCCTTCTAACTCCCATATAGAAACATTCATTTGCATAGATACAAGTTATATCTTAAGTATTATCTAAAATCAAAGTTTAAACCATCCAAATTCATCAATCAACACATCTCTATTCCTATTGGTTTCTTTCAGGTTCTTGTACTTGATTACCCCTCTCTTTTGCCATCATAAAATCATAAAAAACCCTTCTACTTAACCTCAAGTAAATTTATAGTTTTAAAATATTATAAAACACCAAAAAGAACTAAAGAAAAACTTCAAAACCGTGACTTAAACTAACCTTTACAAATTGCAATCCCAGCCTCTTATTTTTCTATCTCTCTTTGCTTCCTTTGTTCTCTCTTTCAGTTGGGGTCACTTGGGTACATATTTGGAGGTTTAAATGTCTTATCTAAGAGATATATAAGTATCCTCAAGGATTGGAGTTGTGAATGATGCTTAAGGATGAAGGAAAGTGTAATTAAAAGACAAGTATCCTCAAGCATGAGCTGTCCAAGCAGGAGGTGGATTTATGCAGCCAACTTTGACCTTTTCCTTCCCTTAAACGGTTCCATATGTGTCTTAGAAGATGTGTATCTATTATATAACAAGATATAATGGTTTAGAAGACGTGCTGGAGGCTTAAGGTTGAAGGAATTGAATGTTAGATTGACAAGTCCTCACAACTTACAAGTTAAGTAAGAGGTGTCTTCCTTGCAGCAACACTTGACTTTTCTCCTATTATATTTGGGTCTATTTATAACTTATAAGATATATATACATCCTATATTAAGTACTTAAGGAGTATGACACGAAATTGATGCCTTAATTCTATTGGAATTGGGCGTTAATATGGTAACTACCCCAAGCATGAGGTGTCCAAGCATGACAAGTCTTCATTGCAGCCATACTTGACTTTCAACCATTATATTTGGATGCATTTGTTATTTTTAAGATTTATATCCATCCTATATTAAGTCCTTAGGGAGTAGACACGAGATTGATGCCTTAAGGTTGAAGGAATTGATTGTTAAAATGACAAACACCTCTAGCACGAAGTGTTCAAGCATGAGGTGGTCACTTGTAGTAAAAATCTGATTTTATATCTACCTTTGTAGGTGCAATTCAAGTATCCTTGAATTATTTTAATGTGTTGAAAATCCAATTTACTTACCCTAAGATCCCAAAATATATTTTAGAACTAATTCCTCAATCGTTCATTTAATTACTTACCCAATTGATGCACGATTCTCGATTAATTTCCACAATTCGCACCTCAATATTTATAACGTTATATGAGACATATATTATTGCATCATGATCATGTTCCTTTATGTCTCGTTTCCCAAACATGTCAATTGCCTATCTAGAGTTTAAGGTGACCTCGATCAACCGAATGGAAGCTTGAACCTTTGTCAATGCTAATTTCGTACCTTCTCGATTTTTCATTGCTTACCAAACCAATTTCCAACATTTAGTTAACCTAATTTTCTATCATAGCTCAATATAAAATTCACCACCTTGGTCGAGGCACCATTTTAAGAGAAAGCAATTAGGAAATCAATGCAAATGACAATGTAATTAGCATGAAAATGCAGGAATCATATTGGCCATATGTATAACGTAAAGCTCGGGGTATTACATCCTTACTCACTATAAAAATTTCGTCCTCAAAATTTGCTTACCAAAAAGTTCAGGATATTTAACCCGCATTTCATCTTCTCTTTTCCAAGTAGCCTCTTCAGTTGATTGATTTTGCCACAATACCTTAACCAATGGAATTTTCTTGCTTCTCAGTTGCTTTATCTCTCGTTGAAGGATCTCTATCGGTTTTTCTTCATAAGTCAAATCTGGTTTTATCTCTACCGGTTCATTCCTCAGTACATGAGAAGGATTTCCAATGTACTCTCTTAGCATGGACACATGAAACACATTGTGCACTTGAGACACTGATGAAGGAAGATCAAGCTTGTAGGCAACATTTTCAATTCTCTCGATAATAGAAAATGGATCAATGTATCTTGGGCTTAATTTTCCTTTCTTTCCAAATCGCATAACCCCTTTCATCGGCACTACCTTCAAAAATACTTGGTCTCCGACTATGAATTCTAGTATTCTTCTTCTTTGATCTGCATAGCTTTTCTATCGGTCTTGAGCAGTTTGCATTCGCTGACATATTTGTATCACAACTTCAGCCATTTCACGAACCATCTCTGGTCCTAGCAATTTTCTTTCTCCAACATCATCCCAATAAACTGGAGATCTATATTTTCTACCATATAGTGCTTCATATGGAGCCATTCCAATTTTAGCATGATAACTATTATTGTATATGAATTCCACCGAAGGTAAAAATTTACTCCATTGGCCTTGGAAGTCTAATACACAAGCCCTCAACATATCTTCCAATATTTGTATTGTTCTTTCTGATTGTCCATCAGTCTGAGGATGATAACCTATGCTAAAAGATAACTGCATTCCCAAAGCCTTATGTAAGCTTCTCCAAAAGAGAGATAGAAACTTGAAATCCCTGTTTGAGATAATAGATAGTGGCACTCCATGAAGTCTGACTATTTCTTGAACATAAAGCTGAGCATATCGGTCCATGGAATAAGTGGAACAAACTGGAATGAAATGGGATGATTTTGTTAACCTATCCACAATAACCCAAATACTATCATATCCCTTAGTTGCTTTTGGTAATTTCACCACAAGGTCCATTGTGATTCTTTCCCATTTCCATTCTGGGATAGGTAATGGTTGTAAGGCTCTTGCTGGTCTTTGATGTTCAGCTTTTATCTGTTGACAGGTTAAACATTGTCCCACATATTCGGCTATCTCACCTTTCGTGTTCGGCCACCAATATTGCAACTTCAAATCTATATACATTTTAGTAGCTCCTAAATGAACAGAATATGGTGTCGTGTGAGCTTCAGATAAAATGTCCTCTCGGATATTTTCTACATCAGGTACATATAATCGTGCTCTAAATAGCAAGATAGCATCTACTGATATATGAAAATCTGAAGCCTTTCCATCATGTATATCATTCTTTATCTTGGAACAATAATCATCTTCCTGTTGCCCTTGCTGAATTTTATTCAATAAAGTTGGCTGAAGTGTCAACTCTGCAAGTTTGGCCTCTACAAATCCTTGTGACACAACTTCAATACCCATTTTCTGTAAATATATCAATTCTAATTTTTGAGTTACAATCACACTCGTAGCACTGGATGTGGACTTCCTACTCAATGCATAAGCTACAACATTAGCCTTACCAAGATGATAGCTTATAACACAATCATAATCTTTTACCAATTCTAGCCATCTTCTTTGTCTCATGTTCAATTCCTTTTGTGTAAATAGATATTTCAAACTTTTACGATCAGTGTAAATCTCACACCGCTCTCCATACAAATAATGCCTCCATATCTTAAGTGCAAATACAACTACGGCGAGTTCTGAGTCATGTGTAGGATAATTCTTTTCGTATTCTTTAAGTTGTCTAGAGGTATATGCAATGACTTTACCATTTTACATCAATACACATCCCAAACCATTCTTTAAAACATCACTATAAACCACAAAATTTCCAATACCAGATGGGATTGAAAGGATAGGGGCTGAAGTCAGTCTTTTCTTCAATTCCTAAAAACTTTGCTCACAAGCATCTATCCATTCAAACTTAGTACACTTCCTTGTTAATTTCATTAAAGAAGAAGCTATTTTTGAAAATCCTTTCACAAATCTACGATAATATCCAGCTAAATCCATAAAACTTCTGACCTCTGAAGGGTTTGTAGGTCATGGCCAATTATTAATAGCCTCTATTTTACTTGGATCCACTGATATGCCCTCACCTGATGCTACATGTCCCAAAAATACAACTCTATCGAACCAAAATTCACATTTCTTAAACTTAGCATATAACTACTTGTCCTTTAAGACCTGCAAAACTATTCTCAAGTGTTTAGTACGTTCTTCTTTAGTATGAGAATAAATAAGGATATCATCAATAAATACAATTACGAACTTATCGAGAAAGTTTCCAAATACCCTATTCATCAGATCCATAAAAGCTGTTGTGGCATTTGTTAACCCAAATGACATTACCAAAAACTCTTAATGACTGTATCTCGTACTAAATGCTATCTTAGAAATGTCATCTTCCTTTATTTTAAGTTGATGGTATCTAAATCGCAAATCAATTTTTGAAAATACAGATGCACTTTGAAGTTGATCAAACAAATCATCAATCCTCAGCTATGGGTATTTATTTTAATTGTCATCTTATTCAACTCTCGATAATCGATGCACAATCTCATTGTACCATCCTTCTTACGAACAAATAATACTAGTGTACCCCATGGGGGAAAAGCTAGGTCTAATAAAACCTTTATCTAAGAACTCTTGTAATTGTAACTTTAACTCTTTCAATTCAGTAGGGGCCATTCTATATGGAGCCTTGGAAATTGGAGATATTCCTGGAATTAAATCGATTACAAACTCTATCTAGTGGTACCCCAGGTAAATCATCAGGAAATACCTGTGGAAATTCTTGTACCATGAGCACATCACTAAGATTCGAATTGTGTTGTGCTTCATTAGCCATAACACTCATCAAATACCCTACACGCCCACTATCTAGTAACCTTTTTCTTTCAATACCGATATGTTTGGAACTCTAAAACCTTTTTCAATCCCAATGAATGTAAATGGCTCATTCTCCAAAGGTTGAAAGGTCAGTAACTTCCTCTTACAATCTATAATAGCTCGATATTTTGACAGCCAATCCACACCCAAAATTATATCATAATCTTCCACATCTAACACAATTAAATCTGCATAGAGCTCTCGATTCTCTATAAGGATCACACATGCTCTTACAATCAAACTGGTTTATTGTACATCTCTAGATGGAATAGTTACACTATAACTGACCTCTTGCATATCAGGTGTCCTACCCGACCTCCTCACATACTCAGTGGAAACAAATGAAAGCGTAGCTCCTGAATCAAATAATACAAGTACTGGGATACCAAAAATAGAGAATTTACCTATTACAACTGATGGATTTGCCTCGGCATCTGATCTTGTGATAGTAAACACCCTGGATAGTACCTTTTTCTGCTCCGTAGGATTTGGATTACCTGGGTATGCTCTAGCAAGATGTCCCACCTTTCCACAAACTTAACATGTCCTAGTCTCTGTAGGGCATGTTCCAGTATGCTGTCCACCACATATGGGACAAGATGGTTGTGCTGTTGAGGCTTTTCCTTAATCTATCCTTGGACGTTTGCCCTGATCCCAATGTTGTTGTCCTTGTCTCGATTGAAACTAAGGCTTCTGACTCTCCTTGGAAAACTCTTTTCTTATCATTTCTAGGCCACCGCTGTCCTTGACCTTGCCTAAATTGTCATCGAGTCTCTTGAGCATGACTAATTCTTTGTTCAGCTTGTTCTGCAACTAATGCTTTCTCCACAATTTGAGAATATGAAACATCTTAGATTCCTACCATGCTTACGTCTCTATATAGTTCTAGTCTTAGCCCTTCAAGAAATCTTTCTACCTTTAGTGTATTAGTATTAATCATGTGGGTAGCAAACCTTGATAGTTGTTTAAATTTATGAATAAACTCTCCCACCGTCATCTCTCCTTGTCTTAGCTGTATAAATTCATTCATCTTCATGGCTCGAACTAGGTAAAATATTTATTACAGAATAACTCTTTAAATCTCCCCCAAGTCATGGCACTAACTTCTTCAATGCTACTCATCATATCCCACTAGTGTCCACCTCATAGCATAAAAGATGTGCAAACCATTTTTTCTACTTCTGAAACTCTCGAATAACTAAACATATTCTCTAAAGTTCTCAACCGATCCCCTGCTGCTGTTGGATCTAATGTATCCTCAAATGTTGGAGGATTTAGTTTTCTAAATCATTTCCCAACTGTCTCAATATGTTCAGCCCTTTGTTGTGGTTGTAAGAATTCAACCCTTTAATGTTCTCCCCTTTCTCTTTGTTGTATTAATTACTGAATTTTTGAGATTGTCGTTCAACTAATTTCGTAAGTCTATCAATAACAACGTCCCGATTGTCATCTTGAATGGACATCTCTTGCCCTGGAGTTCTAGCTCTACTACTACTAGCATCCCTAGTTCTCACCATGGTTGCAAGCAAAGATTAGCCGATATCATTCATGAAGTATGTAAAAAATAATGCAACAAAATAGAACTTACTGGCTTAGCTATGCTCTTTCGTACTTCGAGGTCATGTACATGGACAGTCTACAAAATTATAACCCCGCTCTAATACCATGCTCTGTCACACCCCCACTCATACACATAACTATCCATTAACTTGTGTGGGAAAATTGATGACTCGACCTAAACATAGAATTTCTCACTTTTTTTCACCTGATAAAATGACATAAGCTATGTCTCTAAACTAAAATCATGTCGCCATAATCAAACATATATATTCTAAGATTTTAAACAAGTCTACATGTCATGTCAAAAGATATACAACACATGATCCCCAACATACAACATAATAGGCCATAAGCACAAAATAGCAGCCCACAAAATAACCCTACAGGTCGTCATCCATGTACATCGAACTCTGGAATACTGTAAGAACTCCACAGCTAGCCATGCTCTCTATGTAGTTCCAGGCTCACCTACAATGCAAGAACTAATAAGACAATGCTTAAAAAGCAAAAATCATACATGTCATGAACATGAATGATAACGATATATGCTACTATGCCATTTACTTTAAACATTATGATAAGGAAGCATCATATTCCTATATTCATCAAAGTTTACTCGAAATTATTTCATTTGAAACCCTTCATTTCATTGGGCCCTTGACCCATCTACTATGCACCAGATAGAGCTCTGCATAATATCAATATCAATAACCAAATGGCCAATATGAAACCGACACCAATGAGTGGACCATCCTCTCGTGACAACTAGATGCCCATCCTTTAACTATCCCTATGATCACCCAAGAAGTCTCCCACCCGACAGTGCCAATAATCATAATATCACAAAGGCAGAG